AGGTGTACGTGGCTGGCGCCCTAGCCAGTTGAGCCACAGGCGCCGAGCCCGCATGGCTATTTTTTAGTTGCAGCTGTCATTAATGTTTGGCGGCCCGGGCTAGATTCAAACCTGCCACCTTAGGTGTATGAAGGTGGTGCCTTAGCCACTTGAGCCACAGGAACTGAGTCCAAAGGGCTTTTTCATTGGCCTTATAAAGTCAACCTTAATTCCTTAATGCAGTCTGGAAATGCTATTCCAGCCAAAGCTTTGGTCATGTTAGGCCTGCAACCAACCTGGCCATGTGGGATTCTGCCTCAGTTTCTCACAAGTATGCCTGCACAAATCTTTTCACTGCTCTCTCTCAAACAGCATTTTTGGCCAGAGGCATATAGGCGTTTCGCCTATAGAGGCAGGAGGAACAACGGAGCTCAAGTATTCAAGATTACATTGAGCAAATTTTTTTTTGAAATAGAGTCTCACTATGTCACCCTGTGTAGAGTGCACTTCCATCATAGCTCACAGCAACCTCAAACTCTTGGACTTAAGCAATTCTGTTGCCTCAGCCTCCCAAGTAGCTGGGACCACAGGCACCTGCAACAACGCTGGGCTATTTTGTTGTTGTTGTTGTGGTTGTCATTGTTTAGCAGAACTGGCTGGGCTCAAACCCCCCAGCCTGGTGTATGTGGTTGGTGCCCTAGCCACTGAGCTACAGGTGCCAAGCCATACGGTGAGCAATTTTCATGTCACTGCACCCCAGCCTGGGTGACAGAGAACCTTGTCTCTAACATGTAGTAACAATTACAAATCATGAATTAATATGTTTAAAATTTAAATATTCAACTTAAGCTAGACAATATTAATCTGAACAAAGTAGAAATAAATAATAGAGATGGCTATGCAATGTGACTTATAATTCCAGCATAAGGAGGCCAAGGCCATGGCCACAGTATTACATGAAATCAGAAGTTTAAGACAGTCTGGGCAACATAGTGAGACTGCTCCCAACTCTACAAAAAAAAGTAAACGTAATCCCCGGGTTAAAAACATCTGTTTGATATACAAGTCCTAGTTACAAATGGAGGCTCTTACAGGTAATAGGTAAATGTACCTGTTCCAACTTAACAAATTCAGTTTGGGAATAAACCTACAGAACCTGTCTCCTTAACTGCCTCTAATACTATAGGAGAAAAATGAAAATTTCAGAAATGGAAACAAAGTGGATAAATAAAAAGTAGATGATTACAAAATATACCAAAAGCACAGGTGACAATATAAAAATAGAAATACTGACCACATCAAAATTAAGAACTTTTGTGCTGCTGCAAATTATCCTAAGCATTCTGGGAGGCCAAGGCGGGTGGTTCCTTTCAGCTCTGGAGATCAAGACCAGTCTGAGCAAGAGCAGACCCATCTCTACTAAAAACAGAAAAACAAGACAGGGCCTGGCACTCGGGCTCACGCCCATAATCCTAGCGCTCTGGGAGGCCTAGGCAGTTGGATTTCCCTGTCTATAAAAATAGCCAGGCGTTTTAGTCCCGGCGGACTATAGGTAGGTGCCTGTAGTCCCACTCGGGAGGCTGAGGCAAGAGCCCAAGATTCTGAGGTTGCTGTGAGCTGTGACGCCACCGCACTCTACCGAGGGCGACAAACTGAGTCTCTGTCTCAACAACTAACAAAAACCTTCCTCCCCAGGAAAGAAGACCCAGATCCTCCAAAGCAGCCGTGGTAAATGTGACACTGCATTCTGGGACCTGCTTGCCACCAGGAAGGCTGGTCAAGTCAACTTCCAGCCTCCTCCCCCGAAGGAAGAGGACCACAAGAGCTAAGAGGGTTGCCCCCTGGGTTGAGTAGGTGGCTTGGGGCATGATTCCGGAAAACCAGCTTACAGCTGCAAAGCATCAGAGCCACCAGCATCTTCCGCCAAAGACAGTTCCCACTGTTCAGGCAGGGCGGCCTGTAAGTACCTGACCGGTTCGATGGCGCTAGGTTTCCTTCATCGGTTTTAGTCATTGATTCTGTCCAATCCAATTTGGGGATGCCCGAGGAAAGGACATTTTTTTACCCCCTAACCTAGAGCCGGTAGTGGAACAAAGCTTTCATGTTGGGGGCAGCACCTGTGGCTCAAAGGAGTAGGCGCCGGCTCCATATACGGGAGGTGACGGGTTCAAACCCAGCCCCGGCCAAAAAAACCCCAACTTTCTGTTGAAGGTGCTGCGTTGCGTTCCGGGAGGGCTGGCGAAGGTCTCCCCCAGGCGCCTCCCGTACCTGCGGCACCGGCACAAGGCTGGGGAGCAGAGGCAGCTCCCTCGGATCGGCTGTGCAGGTCAGCGGGGCGAGGCGGGCTTCTCCTGGTGGACGCCAGGGGTTCCACCGCTGAGTCTGGACGGGCCGTACTCCTGGGTCCCACCGCTGCTGGCGAGTGACAGTAGGAAGTGGGTCGGCTTGCGTCCTTGCGCCGCTCTAGGACGCCTGGATGACCGCAGACTTGGTGGCTCTCCGACGCCCGGCAGGCACTTGATACAAGGGCTGAGCGTAGGCGGCCCTTGGTCCCTCAACACGAGATCAAGGCAGGGAGGCTTTTCTTTGCCTGGCAGGGTGTAATAGGGGTATATAGACGTCGAGGGATCAGAGCAGCATCCCCTGTTTGTGCATGGTTGCCCTGGTTAGGCTTTCGGCATCCCCGTGACGGGGCGCGGCGGGGTGCGGCGGGCAGGCCGAGTTCCTAGCGAGGCCTGGAGGCAGCAGCGAGGTGGACTGGGGAGGGCAACGAGGACGGAGGATGAAAGTGTCTGTGAGGCGGTAGACAGAGAAGCCCTCACAAGTCCTCAGGTGTTCTGAGACATTGTGTCAATGTCTGATGGCTCCGAGGAAGAACGCTGGGCCTGGAGTCGGTACCAGAGCGAGGAGAGTCCAGTTCCGAGGGCGAGCTGCAGCTGGAACGTCCTGGGGAAGGCAAGGACCTGGTGCAGTATGGGGAGAGCCTCGGTGGTGGGGACAAAAGTGGACGCACTCATTAGTGCTCGCTGATACCACCGGGGCACCTGCGGTCACTGGGAGAGACCGGGAAGATGCCCTTGGGGCGGTGAAAGAGGACAGAGGGGCCCCGACGTTATCAGCCGCGGGGAGCTTTGGTGGAAATTGTCAGAGGCCTGCGGGCTGGTTTCCTGGGGGTACTACAGGGGATAAGGCTACAGGACCCCCTATCTTGCCGAGAACTTTGGGGTCCATGTGAACGAGAACCAAGGAATGACAGTAGGAAAAAGAACTTCTTTGTAGGAAAAGTGGACACCTTCGAAGTACTTCTACGTGGCTGTGCTTAAATATAATTCCATTTCTTTTTCTTTCTTTTTTTTTTTTTTTTGAGACATAGCCTCAAGCTATCCCCCTGGGTAGAGTGGGTGGCATCACAACTCACAGCAACCTCCAACTCCTGAGCTCAAAGGAGTCTCCTGCCTCAGCCTCCCATAGCTGGGACCACAGGCACCCGCCACAAGCCCGGCTTTTTTTTTTTTTTCGGTTGTAGTTGTCATTGTTATTTGGCAGGCTCAGGATGGATTCGAACCTGCCAGCTCTGGTGTATGTGGCTGGC